TCTACAAGGCTTTGCAGGTCAATGCACACTCAGCAGCTTAGCCCTGAGGCAATTGGGTTTGTGCTCGCTCAGTAGCNCCCCCCCCAGATACATATACCGCCTCTGGCCTACTCCCTGCTTGCCCGTCTCTACAGATCCTTCCCCTCTCCTCTATTGTCTTTCCATGTGGCCCACTCTTCCTCCCTCCCTCTTCTTATATAGCTGGGTGTTTTTGACTGGTGGCTCAGTCTGTAGCCACCTGCTCACTCTGTTCCTCGCTCGCAGATTTTTCTTCTGCCCTGAAGATGGAGGCGATATGTTCCTCCGAAACGTCGTTTCACACAAGATTTGCATGGTGCCACATCCCAGAAGACTGCATTTTTTACTGTCTCATTGTACTCCCATTTTCTCTCCAAAAGATCCGATCGGTAGTTCATCTGTTACATCAAAATCCACACTGATAATCCCCAGTAAATTCTTCTATATAATTTCAACAATGAGATTAACAAATATAAAACTAGAACCCTCAGTAATTTATATTTACCTGCAGTTAACCTAACAAAATACAATATAGGTGCGTACATATCAGGTATTAAAGTTTTTAATCATCTTCCTCAAACAATAAAAATGTTGGCTACTGATGAGAGAAATTTTAAATCTGAATTGAAGAAGTTTTATGTCATTCTTTTTATTCCATGAATGAATATTATCAACATAGTTGGTCATAAGTGTGTGAATTTGTAATGTATTTAATTCAGTTAATGTAGGTAATTTAAATAAAATTGTATTAATTCAAGTCTTATAGTAATTTTTAAATTATTTTTTTACTTTATATTATTATTTATGTTAATGGATTAATGTAAGTGATTTTGATTATGTGACTTGTATAATTTTGTATATGTATCTTGATATATCTGACTTCAAAGGGACCATTTCCACATACTAGGTATATTACCTGTATGGATATATGGAAAATAAAGGAAATGAATGAATGAATGAATGAATGAATGATTGAATCATTGACTGGTATATTTTTGTTTGATAATGTATACTTCAGATCTTATGCACGTACATGTACATGAAGAGAGCAGTTTTCTGGAATGTGGCACCATGTAGGTATTGTGTTAATTGACGTTTCAGAGGAATGGCACCATATACCAGAAGACTGCTCTCTTCATAATCACCTCCATGAAAACCTCAAATCTTACATACTTTCAACTTTTGAACCAGTTGACCGTTTTTCACAAAATATTGTATGAATTGGAGGCTACCCCAGTTTGTAATTTTTAATTCCTTGCACACAGTAATATCAGCATGGAAGCTGTATGAGCATGTTAAGTGAAAACAGCACTAGTGCCCTTTGAGTAGTATAGTTGTTAAGGCAGCTGACTGGATGTTCAGTCAGGTAGATAACATTCCTGTTTTATATTTAGGAGCTCCACAGTTAAATTCTTGGCCTGAAGATCATATCCTGATGAAGGTTTAACTTGGTTTTTCTAAGTCCCTTCAGGGAGACTTCAGGATAATGTCTAGAATTAGGCTACAGTTGTGCTTCCTTCAATATTTCCTCCAGTTCGTTACTCACTGTTCATGTTACTGTGCTGTGCAGCTGGAATTAATGACAGCTCCTTGACATAAACTGTAAATTAATGATATTAAAGCAGTTATTTAGTAGAATGTAAAACAACTTTCCAGCCATGAAAATATTTTAATTTAATTTCCAGTTTTATGGAGATAACAAATGAGCCATTGGAACTATGAGTTTGAAATTTTGTGTGAAGTTAGCTTATACATGTACTTAACGAATTATGGATGAAACCCTGTTTATAAGTTTGCAGTTAAAGAGATCGTGATTGTGTGAAATTCTGAAATTATATCAGATGAATTTATCATAGTATCAGTGTTTAAGTCACAGGTTCTTCCCAAAACAATGTCGGCATTAATGCTAATAATACTCTGTCTGCAGGGTGAGCCTTAATTACATAACTTAAATACAAGCATTGTGTTCTACACTTGTAGGCATCTGTAAAGATGATATAAATATACAGTTACAGCCACTTTGTTAGCGAGATATAGTAGCAGGAAGCACAAGGAAATTGTGAGTAAGTAGTTTATTAGCTATAAGCAGAATGACATCTGGGCAGTTACTACTGGTTTCAAAAAGATGTTGAAATGGCCCACCATTACAGCCTGTGCATAACATACCCTTATTTCACCAAGAATTATGGTCCACTAAAAAACATCAGGCATATTGCATTTTTTGTCCTACCCACTTTGTTGGCATTCCACTGCTCATCTTGTGTCTTACATCCTTGGGTGTAAACAGTACTCCTAAGATGACCAGACAAACAGAAGTTAGCAGGAGTGAGATCAGGTGATGATGGATGCCACACAACTGGTCTGTCATTTCCTATCCCTTGCCCTGGGTAATGGCTGTCTAAATACTGCATGACATAGCGAAAAAACATGGGCAGGAGCCCCATCATGCAGTACACACATTGTCTGCTGTGTTGCTAATGGTACATCACCCAGTAGTTGCGGTAATTGGTCAGATAGAAACTGTTAATAGGAGGCCCCTGATAGATGCAGCAGTAGTTCATAAGTGCCTAGGAGGACACTGCCAATTATTGTTGGAATCATGTTTTTTGAAATGTGGGCCTTCATCAGCCCATGTATGCTGGTTATGATCATTCTGTGGTCCTGGCTCTTACTTTCCACGTGCAATATTGCCACATCGGAAAGTTCCTGGACTCTTATTATTGTAATTGCCTCAGTGAAAGAAAATGAGAGGGGAGGCCAATGTCACACTTCCACAACCCTATTGCATTAGTCTGCCACATGACACCTCGCTGTGAACATGCATTGTTTTTACACAAGTGCTTTTTTGGCTTCGTGTTTCATTTTGTCTGCAATGGATGGCAAAATTGAGCAACATGTCCGCATCAAGTTTTGCATGAAGCTCAGTAAATCTACTACTGAAACCCTTGAAATGCTTTGTGAGGCTTTAGGAGAACATTCTTTAAGCCAGACAGTGATTTTTGAGTAGCATTCATGTTTCAAGGCTGGTGATTGTCAGTGAAGATGACAAATGTTCATGGCGACCAAGTACCAGCAAAATTACAGAAAATGTTGAAAAAAAATTGGAAACCTCATCCACGAAGACCGTCGCCTATCAATCCATGAGCTAGCAGACACCACTGGGATCAGTTATGGAATTTAGCAGGAGATCTTAACAGAATATTTGAACATGCGCAGCATTGCCAAGTAGTTTGTTCCCTGACTCTTGACAAAAGATCAGAAGCAGCGGCGCATAAATATGTGTTCAGATATGTGAGGAGGCTAATGAGGACTCAGCTTTTATCTTTGGGATCGTAACAGGTTGTGAAAGTTGGGTTTATGATTATGATCCAGAAACAGAAACAATCATCAATGTAGAAGAGCCCACAATCACCAAGAGCAACAATGGCATGGCAGGTCTGGAATTCAACAAAGAGCATGCTCATTGTTTTCTTGACATGAAGGGGATTGTTCACCATCAATTTGTTCCTCCAAACACTACAATCAACCCTCACTTTTACTGCGATGTTTTGAGATGCTTGAGAGAAAATGTGAAATGAAAATTCAGAACTTCGGCACAGCCACAACTGGCTTCTTCATCACAATGCACCCATCCACACACCCCTGAAAACCACAGAGTTTATGACTAACAATGACATGGTTATTGTTTCCCAAATTGGAAATTAAACTGAAGGGATGACATTTTGAAACAGTGTCTGACATCCAAAGGGAATCACAAGTGATACTGGACAGCACTAAGGAAACTGACTTCCATGGTGCTTTTGAAGTGTGGAAAAAACGATGGGTTCACTGTGTAAGTTCCCAAGGAGACTATTTTGAAGGAGATGGCAGACAAAATTGTGTAAGTTAAACCAGCATTTCTTTTTTGACCTAGTCTGGGAACTTTCCAATACACCTCATTATGTATATGAACCTTTCTGCTTTCCAATAAGCGTAGGACTTGATTCTTGTATCGAAGGTATGTAATTAAGACTCACACTGTATTTACCATTGGAACAAAAGTAAGGAAAGTGAAGAATCCTGTCATCTGGGCTATACTGCCATGTAGTCCACTGAAACTCACCTGTTGTTTTGGAGGAACATGTCACCTCCATCTTTAAGGTCAAAGAGTAAACTATGCAAGAAACAAGGATGAAGCAGGTAGCAGCAGAATTTGCTTGTCTTGTACTTTCTTAAAATGCAGACAAGTTCCTCCAAAACACTGATTTTCAATGGACTGCATGTCGTTATATCCCAGAAGGTAGGACTCTTCATAACTACTGTGAGAACCTCAAATTCTACAAAAGAAGAAAACACTGACTCAGGTAGGATTCAAACATACAAACATGTGGCCACTAGTTCAGCATTTTAATCCATCAGCCAAATTTAATTTTGTTATCGATCTAGTAACTTACATTAGCTGGATATAAAACTGACTTCATAAGATTTGTAGAATGGGACGTTTAGAGTAGAGAGTTCTGCCTGGAGTTTCTTATTTTTATTATCATTGCCCTACTTTCCGAGCACAGTGACCTTTGTTGCCCAATATTCTCTTTTTTCATATTTGCTAGTGCCTTCTATTGTAAAGGGTGTAAATTAATACAAGCTTGGAAAGAAAGGATGATAATTTTTTTAACATCTTTCCTTCATTAAAAGTAAAAGTTCCAAGAAAAATATAAAACCTACTATGAGCTAACTAAGCTAAGGTATGTATTTCCAGTTCTCTTAGTAAAACTGTATCTTCACCTCAGGTTGACAGTAAGATTAGACAACCTGTTTCAGAACATGACCACATATTGGCTCTGCATTTATGTGTAATGTACCTGGCTGGCCTGCATCATTCCAGTATATGTTGCAGTGCAGTTGTCATGAGGGCAGTGGTTTGTTCTTAACATCTTACAGGCCATAGGAACATTAGGAAGAACAGAACAGGGGCTGTATGAGAAACACTGGTTTATTATTAACTGTAATAATTAACTTACATGGTTTGAGAAACTGAAAACAGATAATATGTGTGTTGCAGATGTATATGCTTGTTTATGGGAGTCATGTGGGTTTGAATCTTCGGACTCCAATGAGATAGTGAGACATGTCAATTTCCACTCATACCATACCAAAATAAAGTGCATTGGATCAAATATTTTGGCTCGATCAAGGCTACCAGTAAGTGATGAGCATATGTATATATTTTACACTTTTGTTATTGTCTGCTAAATTCTGGCTTAGTGTTGCATAAACAACATTCTATACTGAGTCTGTTTTGAGAGAATGCTAATGTCTGAGACAAAGCTTTTAGATATTGATTTATTTACCATCTGGTCCTCTACATCCTTGGGGCAGATTCTGCTTTTCCATTGTAACAGACCTACGTTTAGTACAAGCCACATAGTCCAAGGTTTGGCTTTGGTACACAGAACAGTTCACGTCCTCAGCTGACCAGAGAACCGAACTGTAGACAGTATGAATTGGTTCACCTTGTTCCAAGTTAGAAAATGTCAAACAATGCTTGAATAGATGTTACAGTATTTATTTGGTTACTTTTTTTATTTGGCACTATGCTACAAGCCAGAAAGTCGCGGGTTCAAGTCCTGATGAGGTCATTGGATTTTTTTCAGTTGACCTAATCCTTCCAGGCCCTGCAGTTGACTCAGCCTCTAACAGCAATGAGTACCAGGAATTGTTTACAATATTATATTTAAGCATCCTGTTGCACTCCATACGATACATGATACAAACTCCGTCTTCAGTGCAAACCATATATTATAGGTCTTTCGTTTGCTCTCCTTTACACACTACATGTTTCGGCCACAAACAGCCATCATCAGGTGTATTACTCATGTATCTGTCACACTGCACTTAGTTTAACATTTAAAATTTAAAAACACAGGTCTTCCTGATTGTTCCTTTTGTCGTTATTACCAAAATCTACTTCGTTGATGTCTTTGTGCTGCTGCTTGTCTTTTACTATGCACACAGAGAGACTACACAGAATAACACTGGTACAGTACTAGAAACAAGAAGTAGCCACTGCAGCACTATAGACATAGGGCGAGTAACCATAACAATTTCAAATTTTAAAATTTAGAGGAAAATTGAAAAGATTTTAAAATTAGAACTGAAGGTTTTATAAGTGCTAGTTCAGAGAAATCAAAATTGACGTGTGTAAATGACAAAGACATCAACGAACTAGATTTTGGTAATAACAACGAAAGGAACAACCAGGAAGACCTGTGTTTTTAAATTTTAAATGTTAAACTAAGTGCAGTGTGACAGATACGTGAGTAATACACCTGATGATGGCTGTTTGTGGCCGAATCAGGTAGTGTGTAGTGGAGACCAAAATGAAACACCTATAATATATGGTTTGCACTGAAGACGGAGTTTGTATCATGTATACCTGGAATTAATTAAATAATTTTCCTGGGGAGTAAAGCACGGCCAGCGCATAAGGCTGACAACCTTACCACCATCTTTGAGCCGATTGTTTACAAAATGTGGGACCCCTCAACGTTTCACAACCCTATGGGCCTTCACGGCCCGTTACAGGGATAGCTTTACTTTTTTGATTTGTTATATATGTAGAGCAAAATATGTTAGTACAGAAAGTAATCTTCTTATGTAACAGGCTTGCACATTCATCCAGGTTGGAAAGAACTTGGTACCAGACTTGCCAGATCCATTTACATGTTGTTGGGATGACTGTGAGCGAACATTCAACAACTCACAGATGTACTTCAACCATGTTCAGACACATGTCCACTGCAACCCACGTGGTAATAACGTAGAAGGTGGTGTTCCCTGCAGCTGGCGTGGTGAGCTATCCTGCCATGATTTCTCACCATAATTTATACCAGTATGACACTACTTTTCTGCGCCCATAGCTGTTGCTGTAGCCAGAAGGAGTGCAGTCACCTGTTTTTATGTGTCAGCAAATTTGGAAACTTGTAGTGTATTTATATCTTCACAGTTGTAGGTATCTGATGGCTGTAAATAAAGTTGTCGTAACAGAAAAATGATTTGGATACATTAAACAGGAATTGAAATTCAAAAGAGATAGACTTTCTTTCTCCCATTTTAGCTTTATGACTGCTATGAGAAGAGCTAAAGTTGAGACAGATGTGTTCCACGTGATGAAAGAACTTTAAAATAAACAATCATTTACTTAGCCTCTTTAGCATGTACCCAAATTATGGTATATACCATAAAGCATTCCTCAAAATATGTAATGTAAATATGCTTACTAGAGCAACACAAATATGTAAAGTAATTAACTGAAATTAAAGTAATCGTCTCTAACACAAACTAACCTTACTAAATTCAGATTTGTTTGTAAATTTTAAAAATATGTCTGATATTTCATTTAACTTTGCTGTGAATAGTATAGTAGTGACATCAGCATCAGGAGTAAAAGAGGCATGAGTGACTGGTCACCATATTGTAAATATATATTGTAAATATATATGCATTTGGTATTACTCCCACAGAGACTATAAGCCTTCTTGCAGATAGAATATTGATAAGTAAACAGTATTTTTTCGAAGTTATGTTAGTTTAACTTCTTTAATGGTAACCACAAGGTATACAGTTCCCAGGGGCAGTGGTAAACCTGAAATTACTTAAGGTCCTTTTCTTTATTAACATTATAGTTTTATGGCAGTCACAAATCGTTGCATATAGTTAATCCACTCCACAAAATATATTCAATTTCTGCATTTGTGAATTCAGTAGTCGGTAATCTTATAAACATAAACTTAATGCGATTGTGATGTTAAGCTGCTTTAACCCCTTCATTAATGATTTAAAATTAAATTTGTGTTCCCTGATGTAAAAGAGACATTGTTATTGCATCCAGAAAATCATGACTTGTGGTGCTGCCATCTTCTGAGAAGCACAGGACCTGCATGCAGGAGCCATCACACAACCCAGAGAAACAGTGGGATATAACAGGCAATATACAGCACTGAGTTTGAAAGTTTTCTGTGGATATATCGAGTAGGAACAGAATGGAACAGTTTTGGAAATGCCACTGAATGGGTTAAAGGATACATTGAAGTGTACAGTGACTCTCTGTTAGGCATCTGACTACCTGGGTGTGAATGAATGTGTTTTGTTAAAATAACATTTTGTTTGACATGAGGAAGAGCAAATCATTCTTCATTGTGGTTGGTAGAGCAGTAAGTGTTTTGAATATGCCCAGTTTAGAACCTCATTTGTATGATTGAGTTTTTTGTGGTTTTATTTCATCCTTCCTGAACCAGACATACATTCATGTTAAGCATATGTAATCATCCTTTCATCTCATCTGATATTAAACAACTTCCCCATTTAATTTGATATTATTAGGTAACTACCACACAACGAAGTACAATGTCATATTCACAAGAAAATTTAGTCATTGCTGAATGTGTGTGCAGAGAGCTTAACTCCAATATTGAAGTATAAACCTTTTTGTGCTGCAGGTTGCAAGTCTGTGTTTCGGTCAATGTACAAATTAGCGGACCATGTCAGAAGCCATACGCAGGAGAAACTTGTGGGCTGTCCAACCTGTGGTGGGCTCTTTGCAACAAAAACTAAGTTCTTTGACCATTGTAAGCGCCAGGTTCCCTTGGAATGTGAGTTATAAATCTTGATGCATATGTGCTTGACAGTGAAAGCTGAAATTTACGATTGTGTTTTAGAGCAGATGTGTGTTTGCTAAGTTCTGAATTTCATGTTTGACCATGCACCACATTATCCATTGTTGCTGATGTGAACTGTTGCAGTACAAGGGTATCAGTGTTCACACTGCTCCAAGTATTACCCATCTGAGAGACTGTTGCGGGACCACATGCGTCACCATGTGAACCACTACAAATGCTCCTTTTGCGACATGACTTGCCCTACTCCATCATCCCTTAGTGTACACATTAGATACAGACACCTGGACAGCAAACCATTCAAGTGCAGCTTTTGTGAATACACGTGAGTAGAAATTCCCTTCACATCATACTGAGTGACTGAACTAGTTGGCTAAAACTATGTTACTTCTCTCTTGTATTCAAGGGATGCTTGGTTCTAATCTTGGCTCGTACACAGCTCTTCTGGTTGACTTTTTTGTGGTTTTCCTAGACCCTCCATTCAAATGCTGGTATAGTACCTGAGATTAGGCCATGACTGTTTCCTTCCAGATCCTATCAAGCTGTTAGATGGTACATGGTGCCTCAAATCTTGACAGATGACCAGACACATCGGCTATGCATTGCATCTGATCTTTTACACAATGCAGAGATGTTTGATAGGGTCATTAATGGTGATGAAGCATGGTGTTTGCAGTACATCCTGGAAACAGATAGCAAGAGCATGCAGTGGAAAACACAGAATTCACCTCGGCCAAAAAAAAGATGCATATCTCTCTCGCAATTCAGGGCCATGCTTGTGTGCTTCTTTGATTGCAGGGGTGATAGTTCACTATGAATAACTCGGCTTTGGAGTCGCTCCTTTTTATACGCTGGTCGGTGGGGCGGAGCCAAACTCGAAAGTGAGGAGGAAGAATTGATTGGCTAGCCCGCGTAATGACGTAGATGCGGGCCAGGAGCGATCCCAGTATAAATATGAACGTTTGAAGCAATCAGATTGGTTAGCGCGCGTGATGGTGAAAAGCAATGAGAAGAGCGAGCGTTGCAGAAATGCATGATAATGTGGGATGTTCCCACAAATTTTAATCAAAATTTGATGGATTTCATGATAATTTAAGGAATTTTAACTAATTTTGACCTTATTCAACCTAAGTCATATAATTTTAACCAAAAATTCTTTCTCGATTTCAAATTAATATAAATAATATCAATTATTTTGTGAAAGATTTCACACTAATTTTGGGAATTCTAGCTAACTTTTTGACGATTTACATAATAATACAAGAAATTTAAAGGAAATTTGAACGATTCTAAGTTAATTTAATGAATTTTAATAGAATTTAAAAGAATTCAACGAAATGTATATAATTTAACCTAAAATTCTTTGACTTTTTCATGATAAATAACGTATTTCGACAAATTTATAAAAGATTTCACTCTAATTTAAGAAATTCCTTCAAAAATCTGATAAATACTGTATTTTTAATGAATTTTAATAAAATGTTCAGTCATTCTAAGTTAATTAAAAGAATCTAATCAAATTATGAACGAACTCAACCTGTTTTAAGAAATTTTAAGAAATTGACGTAATCTATATTATTACTGAATTTTAATTAAATTTGAAGTGATTTCAAGGTAATTTATGGAATTCTAAACTAATTTTGACCGACGTCAACTTAATTTATATAAATTTAACCAAAAAATGATGATTTCTGGTTAATATAAATAATTTCAACTAAATTGTGAAAGATTTCACTTTAATATTATGAATTATAACAGATTCTTTGACGATTTACATAATATTTCTGGAAATTAAAACAATTTTGACTGTTTCCATGTTAATTTTTAACTAATTTTAATTGACTTTTGAACGAATTCAACGAAATCTATATAATTTTATCCTAAAATTCTTTGACAATTTCAAGTTCATATAAAGAATTTCAACCAGTTTATAAAAGATTACACTCTAATTTAAGGAAATCCTTTTAGTTTCTGATAATTACTCTATTATTTAATGAATTTTAATAAAATTTTCAGTGATTCCAAGTTAATTGAAGGAATTTTAACCAAATTTAAACGAATTCAACCTATTTTTTAAATTTTTTCCGAAAATTCTTTGACGATTTTACTTAATATAAGGAATTACAGACAATATGTGAAAGATTTCATGTTATTAAATGGAATTCTCTCAAAATTCTTGACGATATCTATATTATTTAGAGAATTTTAAGTCTACCTTGAGTGATGTTAAGTTGAATTTAAGGAATATAAATCATGTTTTGAACGAACTCAACCTGATTTAGGTAATTCTGACCAAACATTCTTTCAGATTTCAAGTTAATATAAAGAATTTCAATAAATTTTCAAAGATTCCATTTTATTTTATCGAATTCTATCCAATTTTTTGACCATATCTAAATTATTAATGAATTTTAATCAAATTTTGAGTGATTTCATGATAAATTATCGAATTCTATACTAATTTCGACCGTCTTCAACTTAATTTATGTAATTTAACAAAAAATTCTTTCTCTATTTCAATTTAATATCAATAATTTCAACCATTTTTTGAAAGAATTCACTCCTTTTCAGGAATTCTAACAGTTTCTTTGACGATTTACATAATATTTCAGGAAATTTAAGGAAATTTTGAATGATTCCAAGTTAATTAAAATTTTTATCTGAATTTTGAAATACTTCAACCTAATTTATATAATTTTAAACTAAAATTCTTTGATGATTTAATGTTAAAATAAAGAATTTCAACAAAATTTTTAAAGATTTCATTCTAATTTAAAGAATTCTATGAAAATTTCTGAGAATTACTACTTTATTTAAGGAATTTTTAAAAATTTTATGTAATTCCAAGTTAAATTAAGAAATTTTAACCTAATTTTGAAAGAGTTCAACATAAATTATATACTTTTAACCAAAAATTCTTTCTCGTTTTCAAGTTAATAGAAATAATTTCAACCAATTTGCGAAAGATTTCACTCGAATTTTGTGAATTTTAAGATATACTTTCATGATTGCCATAATATTAGGTGAAATTTAACCAAATTTTGAGTGTTTCCAAAATTAATTTAAGGACTTTTACTTAAATTTGAACGACTTCAAATAATTTTATATAATTTTAACCAAACATTATTTGCCGATTTCAAGTTAATATAAAGAAGTTCAAACAATTTGTGAAAGATTTCATCCTATTTAATGTAATCCTGAACGAATTTCTGATGGTTTCCTAATTTTTAGGGAATTTATCACAATTTGTAGTGATGTCAAGTTAAGTTTAACGAATATTAAATAGCTTTTGAATCATTTCAATATACTTTACATAAGTTAAAAAAAATATTGTTTCCGATTAATTGTTAATATAAAGAATTTCACCAAACTTTTTAAAGATTTCACTGTAATTTATGGAATTCTATAAAATTTTATCAAAATTTGTGATATCTAAATTATTAATGAATTTTAATCGAATTTTGAGTGATTTCAAGTTAATTTATTGAATGATAAACTAATTTTGACCGTCTTCATCCTAATTTATGTAATTTTAACCAAAAATTCTATCTCGATTTCAATTTAATATAAATAATATCAATTAATTTGTGAAATATTTCACTCTAATTCTGTGAAATCTAACAGATTTTTGGACGGTTTACATAATATTTCAAGAAATTTAACCAAATTTTGAGGGATTCCAATTTAATATAAGGAATTTTATTTGAATTTTGAACGAATTCAACCTAATTAAAATATTTTTAACCTAAAATTCTTTGATGATATCAAGTTAAAACAAAGAAATTCAAGCAATCTGTGAAAGATTTCATTCTATTTTAAGGAAATCTAAGTAAATTTCCGTTATTTAATATATTATTTAAGGAATTTAAAAAAATAGTGATTCATATTTAATTTAAGGAATTTTAACCTAATTTCGAACGTATCAACCTACTTTATGCAATTTTAAACAAAAATTGTTTGATGATTTCAGGTTAATATAAAGAATTTCAATCAATTTGTGAAAGATTTCATCCTATGTAATGGAATTCTGTCGAATTTTTTAATGATTTCTATATTATTTAGAGACGTTTAAGTCAATATTGAGTGATGTTAAGTTAATTTTAACGAATATAAACCAGGTTTTGAACGATTTCAACCTAATTTATGTAATTTTGACGAAAAAATATTTCAGATTTCAAGGTAATATAAAGAATTTCAACAAATTTTCAAAGATTCCTCTTAAGAACATGAGTTTCAGGATGGGGACATCGGTCCTTTATCATAGCCGTAAATAAATCTTGTGAAATTAACAAAATATACGGTGTCAAGTAACATTATATGACTATAAAGACATTTATAAAATGTCTTATCTTAAACACGTAAACATTTGAGTTTCTTCCTTATAAAATCATACTACATATGAGGGGAACAGAGTACAATGTGTGTTTTTTTGTTGAAATGCAATCGTTTCATTCGCACTGCTGAATAACATCGATTGTTTCGCTCACCGATTTGTGTATATGGGACTGTGAATGCTAGTATTTTAAGAACATGAGTTTCAGGATGTGGACATTGGTCCTTTAACATAGAAGTAAAAAAACTTGAGAAATTACCAAAATTTACGGTGTCAAGTTAAATTATATGACTATATAGATATTTACACAATGCCTTATCTTAAACACGTAAACATTTGAGTTTCTTCCTTATAAAATCATACTACATATGACAGGACCGAGTACAATGTGTGTTTTTAGTTGAAAATGCAATCGTTTCATTCGCACTGTGAATAACATCGTTTTGTTTTGCTCACCGATTTGTGTATATGGGACTCAGATTGCTAGTATTTTAAGAACATGAGTTTCAGAATGGGGACATTGGTCCTTTATCATAGCCGTAAAAAAAGTTTGTGAAATTACCAAAATGTACGATGTCAAGTTTAATTATATGACTATATAGATATTTATACAATGTCTTATCTTAAACAAGTAAACATTTGAGTTTCTTCCTTATAAAATCTTACTACATATGACAGGAACCGAGTACGATGTGTGTTTTTAGTTGAAAATGCAATCGTTTCATTCGCACTGCTGAATAACATCGTTTTGATTTGCTCACCGTTTGTGTTAATGGGACTGAGAATGCTACGTGTGTAGACTGAAAAGTAATGCACACATGCTTGTAGAGCGCGAACAAAAACAAATAGCATGATCGGGCAAAAAGTACATTAAAGTACAATTCTTAAGTTTCAAAAGCATATATTTAGTTTTCAACATAGTCATCGTTAAGGCTAACACATTTCTCCCAACCTGTAACAAGTTTTTCATTCCGTCACTGAAAAATTATTCCGACTTTTCTCGAATCCAGGACTTGACAACTGTCTTCACCTCATCGTCCGAAGTGTAATGATTACCCTTGAGGTCTCTCTTGAGTAGAGGAAAAAAATTAAAATAGCAAGGCGCAAGATCGGGGGAATAAGGAGGGTGTGGAATCGGTTCAAACTTCAGGTTTCGCAGAGCCTCTTCAGTTGCGCGCGAGGTGTGTGGACGAGCGTCGTCATGTTGCAAGATTGTTGGCGCCAGGCTGCCTCTAACATGACAAACTCTACGCCTGAGGTGTTTTAGAGTCTGTATGTACTGAAAAGAATTTACCATTGCCCCTCATTCCAGAAAATCGGACACATAAACTCGGTGAGCATCCCAAAACACAGTCAAAAGAAGTTTTTTGGCGGATGGCGGTGTTTTCAACATTTCGCCTGAGGAGAAAACGGATGTCGATATTCAGCGCTCTGTCTTTTCTCTTCCGGTCGTAACGATGGACCCATGACTCTTCCCCCGTCAC